TTTCTCTGTTTAAACAACGAAACTCTGTAATTGCCATTTAGGCGTATAATAGTTAATCGATAAAGGAACAGCACCAGTAAAATCATATTCCTGAGTGAAGGAGCCTATTTGTTTTGAAATTCTAACTGAACGTATTCATGAATGTAAAGAAGCTTATTCAAAGAAAATCATTATTTATTTCCTGAAAATTTATTTTAAAACATAAATTAGCAGTGATAATTTGAATAAGATTTCAGCAAATAGAACGGTAATCGGAAAGGTTTCGATCTTTCAAATTGTAGATTTAAAAAGAAGATGAAAACACCAGTCATTATCAACCTTCGTAAGATTTATTCCACTGACATGTTCACACTGATTCTGGGAACTGTCTAAATTATGTTTGGAGCAATAAATAAGTGAAAGTTGTTTGCTTTCAGTTCATTTCAAGTATTTGAAATAAACAGCTTTAATTCTTCATTTGATTTTTGTGTTCGGTAAACTTGGAATCATGTAAAAACGAATAATATTTCAATTCGTGTGAAAACCGTATCTCTCTACTGCACAGTTCAGGATGCGAATATTCAGTGATTTAGGTAGTGAACAAGCAAGTATTGAAGTTATTCCCGTATAGTGATATGCATATTTCGATCAAACTGGTCACTCATATTTACTTGTCAAGGCATTTTATATGAAGAATTTTAAAAGGTCAATTAAATAAAAGTTCAAATAGATGTAAGGTGATAATTGTAAATAAGGGAGAGAGAAAATTAACGTAATATAAAAATAATAAGATTGGATAGGAAAATTGTCACCTTACTCTAGGCTTAAAGAGTACCAGGGTGAATTCAAGGTTATAACAAACTGTTTTTGTACACGTAATTTACAAATAACCAAGGCTATTATAAACCTCAAAGTTCGTCCTTCAGCATTTCTATACAATGATTTGAAGGCTGTCTTGATGTCAATCTCATGCCCTGTCTCATTTATGCGTTTTGTGATCGATGAACATGGTTTTCTAGTTCCCACGTTTATCGGCTCATCTGACGTTAACTGATTTTGAAGCCACTTAAGTACATGTTCCATAATCCTTGATTGCAAAGTCCGATTACCCCTCCCTATGTATGTGTCCGCACAGACATGTAAATTAATAAATGAAGTGGGATGTGATGTAATCATCCGAGCAACGTTTAGGTCTAAGTGAAATCATGGGCTTAGTCTTTTAGATGATAATCAGTTTAGCAGCGTAGTATGGTTTCTCTATGGCTGCTTTTAGCCTCCGTCTTAATAATAGACCATTTGCTTCACCTCTAAATGGTAAAGTGATATAAACCTTTTTCTTCTCAGCTGCTTTTGTCTTAACTGATTCCTACACCTACTGATGAACTTTAGTAGATAACCGTTTGAAATCAATGTTTCACTTAAGAATTTTGCATCGTCTTCAAATGTATCCGTGGTACAAATCCTTTGTGCGCTACTGAAGAGGCATTTTACCGAATCTCGCTAGTGTTGCAGTGGACAAAAACTGCTGAAATTTTAAATACTGCCCAGTCCAGGTTGGTTTACTGTAAACTGAACGCCTTATAGTTCCATTCTCCCCTCGACTCAACAGTATGTATATAAAGGGTAATTGGTTATTATTTTCTGTTTCGTGGGTTAGGAAAATGTCTTTCTGAAGACTATTGAAATTATTCAGTAACGGGGAGACATTGATTTCTTTATCGTGCATAACTTAAATATCATCGATATATCTCCTATACAGAGTAAGGTTATTGATGGGCTCATTCTACAAGTTTTCAACATATGCCATACAAACATCAGCTAAGAGAGGTCCCAAAGGAATACCCATAGCAACACCGTCAGCTTGCTGGAAATGTTCATCATCAAACGTGAAGTGAACTTTCTCAGTACATAATAAAATTAATTCTCTTAGTAGACTTGACTGAATGGAAAAAAGAGGGAAATTACTTAATATATAGTCACAAAGAAAGTTAACAGTTTTCATTAGGGATATATTGGAAAAAAAGGGAGTTTACTTTAAAACAATGCATAATCTTTCTTTTAATACTGAAGTCATCAAGAAATTCAATTAGTTCAAATGCATCTTTCAGCAAAAACTTACGCAATTTATTCCGAAATGGGCGAAGTAATTTAGCGCAAATCCATCACATTTTTCAGATCAGTTACATCTCCTCACTGTTCTATCAAAATTTCACATTGGTTGAAAATAACAAGTTTTTATACTCTGATGAATACTAGTCTAGCACGATCATTAATAATGAAATTTGGCGTCGGATAACAACACTATCCTACATCATACTGAATGTGATCATCAAAGTGGATAACTTCTCTTTGTACAGATCGCTACATTTTATAGTAAATACCTGAAAAAAAGTAAAACAAAAATGACTAATTTTCGAGTATTTCAATAAAGAAAATATTACCCTATTTTTATTTATCTCTAATACCTTGGCCTAATTTCATTGTATTGCGTTGTGTAATATTTCATTTGGTAAAATTTACACGTGGATAATCAATAACTCTGAATTTTAGCTTTAACCGATTATTTCATGTAGGCCTGATTTAAAGTGCTGAATTTTGTAAACATTCTTAAACAGAACACTGTTCGTCTAACTATGTAAATATATTTGTGTTTTATAAATTGAATGATGTACAAGACGAGAACTATAAATAGTTCAAGTTGAGCATAAAGTTTAATATCAGACACATTTCGAGATATTTTTATAAAGTCTATACAATTTTAGAAAAATGAATTTAGAATACTGTCTTGTTTTATTACTACCATAGTCATTTGGTTGCTACACATAGTTATTTTAAAGAGAAAAGAAATATTTCTAGTCTGTATATCTACACCCAGGTATTTAGTTGTCATAAAAATTCTATTCAGTGTGTATGCTAGAACAGTACAATCGGTAGAATGAAAAACGATCACGACAAATGGGACTGATAGGTCAGCAGAAAAAATATTTATGATAAAATCATAAGTGAAAAACAGATGACAGTCAATTAAACAGATGCAATTAATCATTAATTAATTGAACAGAAATAAAATATTGAACATTAAACTAAAATCTCCATTGCAACAATAGAAAGAGATACATGGTTACGTTCTAAACATCGTGATACAATAATGAATTAAACTTGATTTGCGTTTGAATGTTTTGCTATTTCTCAAATCAGGTATAATGAACAATCTACTTACTTAACATGCTAAACAGTCAGTTACATAGTTATATTGTCTAGTATTTTGTACACATACATCGGAAATAATTGGATTTTCTTTTATACAAACTTAAGCGGCTAGTTTCAAATTTTAAGGTAGGCAAACCATATTAGCGTATATTTTGATGTAAGAAATTTTTTATTCTGGCGTTCAACTAACTTGATCATACCTCAAATACATCTGACCAAAGTAATAATTGACTTTGAAATCAGTTAGAAAATCCTTAACTAACTGAACACGGACTGTACAAATATCCAGAACGAACTATAATTTGTTATTTAATCATAATTCACTCACTAATTTAAAACAAGTTCACTTTGAAGATGATAACACTTAGAAAAATCTATATTTTCACAGACTGTCATAGTAAATATACTCTCTCTCTCTCTCTCTCTCTCTCTCTCTCTCTATATATATATATATATATATATATATATATATATATATATATATATATATATATATATATATATACGTCACTTGATCAAACAATGTTCTTCCATTCAACAAAATGTCTTTGTGTTTGAATGTTAATGATGAAACAGCTTATTGAGGAAAAACGTTGCTCGACGAAAAACGGATTCCTATGAAAATACGCAGGAACAGTTTCACAGGTTGGCCAAGTATAAATCTACTTGGACTAACGAAATTAAACAATGCTATCACTATCAATGAAGATAAGAGAAATGAAATAAATAAATTTTCTTATACTGTATAATTAGGGTATAAATTACATTAGGAAGAACTTAAGTACTGAAACGATTTATTTTACTTCATTACTGTACAGCATGTGTGAACCCTAACTTACTTATGCCTGTTACCCCCAATGGAGCATAGGCCGCCCACCAGTTGGAGAAAACTGGTGGGCGGCCTATGCTCCATTGGGGGTAACAGGCGTAAGTAAGTAAGTATGTATGTATGAACCCATGATGTTAAATAGGACTCATAAACTCCATGTTTAGCAGCAGGAATTAGTTATGTGTTTCAGAATCTAGTCATTAAAACTTTCAACTGTAGTTGATTTTCGATGAAAAACAATCTCAACTTAATACGTCAGTGATATTTTATTTTCTCATCATCAAACTAGCAACTTTGTGTTTACGCTTTTTCATCGATTCATGATGAATGTTATCTTTATATAATATTGAAAGTTATACGTTTACTACTAGAACTCGTAAACATAGTCTTCCTTATCGAATCATAAACCCTAGAGATATTCTTCACGTGAACCATAAACAGGAAAGGAGAAGTGTAGCAAGGAAGTTTTATTACTATAGATTCTGTACATAAAAATAAGAGTAGTTGTAGGCACTTTGTTACTTCAAAATCGTTGAAGCTTCTAGGAAAACATAGCAAAATCAGTAAAAAAAAAATACCGGTCATTATCCAGTCAGAATTCTCATCAGCTTTACTAGAGAGAAATCTGACTGACCAAAGTATTTCCATCATTTCTATAGTTTCCAAGGAACATTTCGAAAAATAGTAAAGGATTAATAACAGACAGACTATTTGTCAAACTCATTATATTAACTAATTTAAGAAAATTTGATAAGACAACACATCTCTGCATGACACATACGCTTAATGTTGTAGCATATCAATGTCAATAAAAAGTCATAGAAATCAGTTGGAAAAAAAAAACACATTTCCACCCACTTAACTCACATGATTCCAGCGCTAACTTTAGCATAACATATTTTACCTGCATTTACAATTGGTAAATTGCATTAAATCTAAAAGTATTGAACAAAGACTAACTAACATTGTAAACAATGGATCGCTTTCTGATCACAATAATTTCTTTTTTTAGTGATTTATTCTTGAAAGCAGTTGTAAAATTATAATTCATTAATCAGTTATCTAATTTTTTTTTATCTGAAACCAGCTGCAATATTAAACACAACCAATCTTCAACTAAAACACATCAATTATTCACGCTATATTCAACTTTATCTAAGAAATGAGTAAGTGAATCGGATACTGTGTTTTGTTTAATGACTGTGTTAATTCGAATGATGTTTTGTATTTGTAAAGCAGTAGAATTTTAAGTTTTTATCTAGTCTATCTAAATATGTGTTTATCGAACTAAGCAGTTATCAGTTACTCATATATATATTTCGACATCAACTGGTACATTATTCATAAATTTTAACGAGGTCATAATCTGACGAAGTAGTTATTTCTGGATAGTCGTCTATTTTTATCAATTTCTTCAATAATCCGGATGACAGTTATTTATTCAAACAAGTCAACATCACATTTTAACACGTTTTAAACTAAGAAATAATGCTATCCAAAGATTTACTATTTTGCACTGACGAGTCAGTCTCATGAATTATGTACTTAAAGAGGTCTTTCGGTAAAACAAATGACTTGTTTTTGATAAAATACCATAGACAACAAGTCAAATATCTGTTTACTAATGTACTCATTGTCCTGTCAGAAATAACTAACTGACACCTAATTATAGCGTTCAACTTCACATGGTCCTTTTGTCAGAAATTTTACAAAGAACGATAAAAAGGAAATGTTCGTTGTTAGTTAACAAAATAAATTATTGAAAATACCTAATATGTTGTGAGAACATTTGAAAATTAGACTGCTGTTTGATATCAGCATAAATTTACAGTAAGAAAGATAACAAATGTTATGGTTCACGCAGCACAGTAAGTTGTATGGATTTTTGCAATGCCTAAAGATAAATTCTCTCTGGAATTTAGAATTAATAATATTGAGATCATAAGGCATTAAATTGAAGTAATTTATCGAAAAACTACTTCAAGCAGAAGTATTCGATTTAGATGCGTTATGTGAATCATTGGCAAAAATGTAAGGGTTAGGCATGGTAAAGACAGTACTAACAGTTTCTAATGCATATAAAACACAGTAAATCAAGAAATTTATGCTAAATATTTTACTATTTACTTCCAGACAAAATGGAAACACATCTAGTCCGTATTTCGTGATTGAGTATTTTATGTACTCTAAAAGATGTTTAACATAATGTATCTTGGGACAGAATCAAAAATACATTATATTTAAGAGGCTTAACAATAACCGGATCCTGAAAAAAACTATATTTTTAAAACGTTTACCGTATGTGGATATTCGAAATATTTCAGCACATAGCTCAAGAGAAGTAAAGGCACTTTCGTCATAGTACCTCTGATATTCCAGCTATCGGATCAGATAGCACTATTTCACTTCCCTATAATATAACTGGCAAAACATTTTTCCAAAAAACATTTAATGATTAAAAATTTTGGCTTATCAGTGGGATTTAAACTTGGAGTTGAAAACAATAATCTGAAACCGAGAAAAACTCTTCCATGTTGCGTTAGAAGAAGTAGATTTAGTAACATCATAAGATCAACTTACTGTCAGTCACAAGTGTTCACATGAGCTATCTTGTTAAATGACTTTAGTCCAGTAGAATAGTTACATATTTTCTACAAACTACAATTGTTATCATAAGATTAAAGGTTTAGAGGGTACAACGGAGGTAGGCATTTCATCTTATGGGTTAATCCGTTAAAAAATCAATAAAATTACATCTTTTAGAAGAACTTTACATTTTCGTCTAAGGCTATTAAGGTTTGAAAAATTTAATCGACTGAGATTTGCGAGTAATCTTTTGTTGGTACAACAAATACCTAAGCATAATGTGTGATAACTAGTAAAAAAAAATATTACATAAATATTTTTAAAATCATCCGTAAAAATGAATATTACACCTGATTTGTAAAGAAGGTCATCAACAATTTTTACATAATGTCGGTAATTTACTAGAGTGATTCCATTGGCATTCAGTATAACAAGAAGAAATTGAATTCAATTTATAATTAGCTCGAACATACATCACATGGTTTTGTATGCATAGTTAGTGAGTTAAAAATTTACAAATGAGAGAATTAGTACAGTGTATGAAAACGATTGACCAGAAGGCTGATCTAGCCATAGCTGAATACATTTGATCAAACTGTAGTTTAATTATTCTTATGCAATCTTTGACTTTTTAGAAGGATACCTATTTTTATCAATAGTTCACCTGAATAATTGTTAGTTCTGCTATTAGCTTTGTTAAGGCTGAACGATTTGTTTTATTCAGTTGAAATAATCTAATCCTTAGATAGCAAGAGTTCTTCTATTACATCTGATGTGAACATTAGTTTTCTTATCACATATCACCCTATTACATAAAAGTGCTTAGTGAAAGTGGAAATCAAATGTTATTATTGATCATAGATGAAGGACAATGAAAATAGATTGTGGTGTTTAAATTGTTACAACATGATCTGGTTATTTGCACACTTTTTATTGAATAATTTTGTTAAGTATTAACAATTGTTGTGATCTCAGTTTAACCTACTTCATGTGTTCAGTTGTTAATTAGGGCTTGTGATTTTATCATGCTTAGCACTTTCTTCTTATGCTCAGGTTGTACTTTTTTTACCTTACATAAAGTTGTGTATCTTATTTCATCGTGATCATTAACTCACTGGTCTCCTTGAGTTGTCTGTTACTTTTTTATATGGCTTTATAAACAATCTTACATAGAGTAAAGCAACCAGTTAAGCAGGTTAAAGGCGGGTTAGTTTTCATAAAAGCTACTGTAAAGTAACCTACAGATAATGTTGAACTTCACAACAAAATGCAATCTCATATCTCTAGGGAATGAATTTAAGTTACAAAGATTGTAATTTCTTAATTTTCCACTCAGTTAGCCCGTAAAATACTATATTTTTTGGTTCTCCTCTACTTAACTCATGGTTTATTGTTCCGCATATAAAATTCCATGAATCGATATCAATAACATTAGTTACACAGCAGTAAATAAAACTGACTATGTCAGATTTTACGTTAATCATTGTTCCTTGAAATAAACATTAATAAATGGATGTCAATATTTAATATTCTTTGAATCCTTTTTGTTTTTAAGGAAAAACGGTCAACAACAATTTAGGTAGGATAATATGAACTTATCAGATTACGCTAGGTTCTCATTGAAACATGTAATGTCTCACAATTAAAATGATCAATAAAGTCACTGAGAATAATTGATTGAGTGAATCTACTTGGAATCTATAGTTTAGTAATATATCAGGTAGTTTATCAGTCAACTTCACTGGTTTCAGTTCTGTAAAGGCTATGTAATACAATATGATAGATTTTTGAGAAACATTGTCACTACTAACATGAAAACCGGAAGAAACTGATTCAAGTCAACAAACAGCATAATGAGGTAAAAAAACAAATGTTGAATCTTTAAACAATAGACATTAGAACCATGGTAAAAATGGTCATTTCAAGTATCCATATTTTGAAACTCTGAATGAATGACCAAAATACAAAAAAATAAAGATGAAAATGAATCACTTTCAGTAAATTTAATTTTAATCTACTAACCTACTTTGAAGGGTTAGTCTTTCGTAGTAGAGTCACTCTTCACCATATCCATGTATGGCGTTTTTCTTTTAATGTGTAAAAAATAAATTCTAACATTCATATACATGATAAAAAATTTTTGCTTACATTTTAAAATGTCTGTACTTTAAATGGCAATTCGGTAACCGGAATTGAAATTGTTTCATTAAAATTAGGCTAGTTCCTTGGTGTAAGATGATCTTCTGGTTTTTTTTTCATTTATATTGTATTGTCTAACAACAGTATTCGAAGTACTATACAGCTCATGAAAAATCTTTTTAACTCGTCATTCATTCTTTTGACTGATTCTAGCTAATGGCAATAATGATAAACTAATGAAAATCATTTATAGTTTTTTGTGAATGGTATTTCTTAACTAATTTTTCCTTTAGAATAGGCGAACAGTATTGTAGTTGAATAAGACTGAAATAATTCGTAGTCACAGATTGATTTCTAATCTAATCTGTGATGTCAGTCAGTTTTTACAATGATATAACTAGCTTTTTAACTCATATGCATTGTATCGAATTACATAGATTTAATCTGTATGAGAACTCAAGTATTACAAAAGTACAAGCACACATGACAATTTAATTATGATCTATGTATTGCACAATGCTTTTAGGACTAGAGTGATAGGCAGATTATTCAAATTACTTTGCGAAAATCGTCACTTGCGTACTTAAATGTTGATCCCTGATTTCAGTTCGTATGCAAATTCAGAAGTAAAATTAACCTATGTATACATTACTGATATAACCTGTCACGTGACTAACTTATATTTATGGTAGTGTACAAAATTGAAGTCATTATTTTCGTCAGTCTACTAATTAATAAAAAAAGGAAGGCTATTTTTGTCGATGAAAGTATGCGAAAAATAAGGCTAATCAGGTCATATATATATATATATATATATATATATATATATATATATATATATATTAACCATAAGTTAACATAGACTACAATGCTTCGTTACAATACACATCAGTCAGAAAATGGTAGACGCATTCGTCCATGTAAGTGATATTCAAATATTCATTTATTTTCGGGTTATTGTTCAACCTATCAGTGTGCATGAAAATTTCCATGAAACCGGGACAGTGACACTTCAAAACAGCTAAAAACTGCTGTAATTGTGAAAATTACGGGTTTACGTACCCATGAACTTGCCTAAAGTAGAACTCAGGAACTTCGAGTAGATGTTTTTTTTATCATAATCTGATATCCGTTAGGAAATGAATTAGTCAGAAAATATTTGATATTTCACTTGTTAGGTTTTCAAATTTCCTAGCTTCACATTCCAATAAGTTCATGTGAGATCGGTATCCAAACTTATCTAGCATACAGAGGTCTGAAGTATAGCTAAGTTGCTATCATGTGCTCAACAGTCTCAGTTGCTCGCCAGTTATTACACTTTGCTGAAGTATAGTTTAACGAACACCTAGCAATTTGTTTCGGTAAAACGTAATGTGTATAAAGAATTATGAATTTAGTAAACAATTCATTTTCGACATAAAGCAGACAATTTTTATACTGC